GTTAAATATATTTGACATTATCGACATTTGTACTTCATTACACATTTGTAGATTTATGATCGTCAAGATCATCACCCAGTTACAATATGTTATTTTATAAGCTAATCTTTTTAAAATCTATTTCTAATATACTACTTTTTTATTTGATATATAAAATTTCTAATAAATAGAATTTAAATTCTAAACATTTTTAATATAACTCATATTAGAGTTTACATAAAATTTATATATTAATTTTGATTAAAATTATATATTATAAAGATATTTTTAAAATTTGTTATTCTATATTTTCTGTTTTTAAACTAACTAGTAATTGGATTTTAATAATTTTAAATTTATTAGAATTACCTTAATAGAGAAAATAAATCACATTTCTAGTATTGATATTAATTAAGTTATTATAAAAAACATATTTTATTATATGTCATTTGTAAATTAAATGAGAAATATTCAGAATCCTATAAAATCATTAGACTTAATTTTTTTTGTTAGATTTATTTAATCATTATATTATTTATTGAGCTAACATGCACAAAAATAAATTCTATTATTATTTATATTTTGTCAAATTTATAATAAAAATATAATTAATAAATTTATTTTTATTAGATTTATAATAAAATATATTAATTAGTATTATAACTCGTATAAAATAAATATTTTTATTAAACTTAAGAAAACTATTAAACTTATTTAAATCATTAGATTTATTTTCAGTAAACGTAAGTAGAAAATATGCTATTTAATAAACAAATTTATATAGAAATAATTCTGATATACATCTTAAATCTAATAAAATAAATTTTGTTAAACTTAAGAATAATATACAATATAAATGTTTAAAGTTTTTAGAAATTATTTTAATATAGTAAAAATTAATATAAATTTTAAAAAGAATCAGAATATACAATATTAATAAGAATAATAGAACTTTATCTTAAAACCTCAAAAATAATATTATATTTTTGATTTCTTTCTTTTTTTATTATTTTTCTTACTTTACCTTTTTTATTCTACTTTATATGAAGAAAATTTACAATTTTCATTTTAAGTTTCAGATTTAAAATTAGACTTATTATTTTTGTATAAAAAAGACTTTTCTTTTAATCAATATTAATCTTTACAAAAATGATTGAATTTAAATTCTTCACTATCATTGTAACTTTCATATTCATTATTCTAAAGGCTACTATAAGTAAAAGATAAACAGAATTTTTCAGAACCAATTTTTACAGATTTTTCTTATAAGTAAACCCTTGTAGTTAGCTTGTTTAATTCTTTATTAGAAGACATAATGATTACAATTTTTGAATTTATTTATTGAAAATTTTAGGAATTATCAAATATAAGTTCATTTAAGATAGATAAGTTAATATAAGTTATTAATTTTTTTATCTAGTTCATTGTAAAAATTTATTTTTAAATTATTTTTTTTTTAGATAATAATATTATACAAATGCTATAATCTATTTTTTAAAATTTTATATCAAAAAAAAAAAAATTGATATAATAAAGTTAAACTTGTATATTTTTTTACATTAATAATAATATATAATTATAAAAATGAATATAAAAAAACCAAAAATTGTATTTATATTAGTTAATCTTGCAAACCAATCATTTATGAAAAATTACATACATCTATTTACTAAAATTCAGTGATAAGTTAAAGATGATAATTTCGTATTTTCGGTTTTATCACAATTATTTTTTAGGTTTATAAAATCTTACCGTTCGCAATTGTCACCTTAACCTGACAAAAAAATTCCAAAATTGGACACAATATTCGATAGTTACATGATGAAATTATCTTCGTTTTTTTTTTATTTCGAAATTCATTATCTTATATCAAAGGATATCAGAAAAAAACTAAAAGTGATCAAAAGTTTTTGGTCCATCATATGGGACAGATTTATTGTATGACACAATCCTTATTGCTTTTTTCATTACGTTCATTTTTTAATTTATTTTGATTATTTAAGTGATCTAGCCGTGTAATTCTACCACCACGAGCCAATCTTTGTTTTGCGTCCTCATTTCCGTGTTCAGCTGCCTAACGTTTAAAAGTGAAGAAAATGAAGTAAGAGAAGCACGCGCACATATATTTATGAACCAAGAAATTTTTTCTTTGCTTACCTTTTCATACCAGGCAATGGCTTGATTTGGATTAACAGGTACATGAATACCAACATCATGGAAGTAGCCCATTGCAAATTCTGCTGCAGCCAAACCTTTGTTCGCAGCTTTCTCGGCATGTTCATACGCCAACGCTTCATTTTGATCAAAGTAACCTTCCGCACCACATAAATACCATTTGCTTAAAGCCATATCTGCTTCAACATCCCCCTTTTCTGCAGCTCGCTTATAATATGAAACAGAAAGTATTGGATCAAATTGACAACCTAAAGTAGCATATTCATAGCAATGTCCCATCTTGTACAATGCGGGAACATATCCCAAATTGGCAGCTCTTTGAATATATTCCTTCGCTTCATGATCATCCGGTGCAACAACTTGATCCGGTATTTCAGCCTTATCCCATTCTCTAGCTAATATCATTCCGTATACATAAGCACCATTTGGACATTCCTCATTTGCTTTTGTTGCTGCTGATTTTAAATATATTAAGGCTTGGTTATAATCGGTTTCTGTTTTTAAGTCACCGAGTAAGTAAATCAAAGCAAGCCGCTGTTTCAAAATAAATAAATACATTAGTACAAAAAAAAAAGAATGTAATAATACATCACAATCTATATAAACTTACGTATAAAGCAGAAACATCTCCATTTGAAGCAGATTTCTTATAGAATTGTAATCCTCGCTTTACATCTTTATTTTTTTCATAATGTTGAGCAACTTTATAAATTGCTTTTGGAAAATCTTGTTTCGAAGCAGATAAATATAATCTAAAAGCTTTATCCTGACTAATCTCTTTACCAAATTTACCGTATTCATACCAATTACCTTTTATATACATAGCTTCAGGATTATCTTTTCTTGCCAAAGAATTAATCCAATAACATATTTCCCCAACTAATTTATTATAATTTTCCTGATTACTATTATTAATTTGTTCATTGTTTTTATTCCCGACAGATGCATCATGACATTCGATCATATTAATGAGAAATTTAGCATAATCAAGTTGAACATTTGGATCATTTGTCTTTTTGGCAGCTTCCCTGTACTTTTGTAACGCATTTTCATCCTTTACAAGAGTATTAGAAGTCATTGTCATTCGCCTCTCGATTTTATCGTCAATCAAGAGACGTATATTTGTGTTTGGCTGATATTTTAAAGATCCACGTTCCGGTGTAGGAGATCTTTGGCCCCAGGCGCTTCGATTTACTCCAGATAAGGAAGATGGTATTGAAGCTCCATCCGGGCCAACTGAGACGGCACCAGGAGATGGCTGACGAGGAAAACCTGATGATGATGAACTTTGATAATTATTTGGTGAACCTTGACGATATTCAGGCATAGATAATTGACCTTGAGAATTCCAAGGATTTTGGATTGGCGATATAGGTGAATTTGACATTGAATGATCATTATTAGTTGAAAACCGTTGAAGAGATGTAGAAGTTTGCGTTGACGAATTCATTTGATTTGATGGCTCTGAACCGACTTGATTGTTTTGATGATAATTAGTTTGTTGTCCAATTTGATTTGGATACTGCTGCTGCTTCATCTGCATATATTGTCCTTGTACCGTTTCCTGTGAATTACGACCTGGATATTGAGTTTGCTGTTGATGGATATTTACACTCTGAGATAAAGATTGTCTAGGTGTATTATGTATAGAAG